ACACACACACACAGGGGGGGAGCCCGTAACTCATTGTATCAAAGATCGTGTAGAGAATCTTTTCATTATAATCAGTTCTCAATTTAGAAAAGAGGCTGCTGGCTTTAAGGAGGAGGCGCTGTTTCCAAGCACTGCCCTACACCTGTGCAAACATTTGGGAAAGTCATAAACCTTTGACCATTTCCACTTCTCATTGCAAGAAAGACTCCGTCGTGCGTCACTTCTGAAAAATGCACACGGTGGAGTCTTATACAAGGCACTCGGTTTGATATGAGGCCAAACAAATAAACACCAAGCCGCCAAGTATTGATCTGGCGTGTCTATCACTATCATACCGCCGGCGCGTTTTAACCATCGAATAATTGCACCATTCTTGTGAGCCTTTCAGTTTCATATATCTGAATTTTGATTTTCATTTTCATATTTTTACACTTTTGAAAATACATTATCTAGGTACGTGAATGTTCCTTTCTGGGAGTAAAAGAATTATAAAGATGGAAGTGAATATTTTAAAAAGATTGTTTCAAAAATATAAAATAAATTAAATGTACTTTGAGAACTTCCGAGTTTGATACCTGGCATTAAACCATTCTTGTGGGCTCTTTAGTTTCATACGCTAATTTTAATTTTAATTTTCATATTTTTCCACTTTTGAAAATATATGTGAATGTTCCTTGATGTGAGTAAAAGAATAAAGATGGAAGTAAATTTTCAAAAAAATTTATATAAAAAAATAAAAATAAATTCAAAAATACAAAATATTGAAGCAATCTTCAGATTACAGCGCAATTATACGATCGTTAACACGCGCAGCGCAATCTTAAGATGTCCGCACAATTATACAATCGTTAAAACGCGATCAGTAAAATACGCGGAACAAATGCTATACATGACAGGAGATATAACCTCCACCCCATCCCCCCCCCCAAAAAAAAGAAGAAGAAATAAAGAAAAACAGACCCTGCTCTTAAGGGGAGAAAAATGGGAGGTCTGATTTAAAAAACAATGTTTTAACTTATTAATTAATATATAATGAA